TTGATCACCGTGTCGCCGAAGTAGTGATCGAAACCATGAGCGAGCGGACCATCCGGAATCGACTTCGTCCAATCAAAGCAGTCAGGCTCGACGCCTTTTTTCGTACGAATCGCATCCCAGTCCCAGCCGAGGTGCCACTTGCCGATACAAGCCGTTGCGTACCCATTTTCCTTCAACATCTCAGGCATCGTAAGACGCTCTGGCCGAAACACCGATTTTCCGAACGCATTAACAATGCCATGAAAGTCGCGCCAATGATGGCGTCCGGTCAGCATCGCGTAGCGACTTGGCGTGCAAATACCAGAGGAAGAATGGCCATCGGTGAACCTTGTTCCCGTGGCCGCAAGTCGGTCCAGATTGGGTGTCGGTATCTTGCTGTTAGGGTTGTAGCAAGTCAGGTCGCCGTATCCGAGATCGTCGGCATACAGAATCAAGATATTGGGTGCTTGAGTCTCCTGGGCAACAGCCACCGATGCGTGAATTCCCAACAGGAACAACAGCGCAATCGCAATCAGGCAACGCGACATAGAATTCGAACTCGCAATGAATGAGGTTGTGTTGAGAGGAAATGGCGGGGGTGAGATCAAGCCGGCGATTCAAAGAAGAGAGGAAACCATCGACTCACCAGATAACAGCACAAGTTGGATAGATCTGCCACTCTTTTTTGGTTGATCATTCAATTTTGTTGAAATCGGACATGCAGAAGTTAGTTTGCGAGAATCTGCCGACGCCCCGAATTCTGATCACGGCTTCGGCCCGAGCGCGGGCATCTAACGATACGAGTAACGTCAGCTTCCTTCGTGATCGAACCTGGTTTCGATTGCGTTTTGCGGTCATTTTCCGTTCACCTCTGCGCAAAAATACAATCGAACCCCTGGGTATTTACTCTAAATTTTCTCCACTCGCGAGAATTCTTTGCACACGCTTTGGACAGCATGCATATTAAGGAAGTGATTTCTTAACACGAAATAATTAAGGGACTTACGTTCCAAACTGGTTTTACCGGCAAGTACCCTTTGCAGTGCATGGCTTTAGACAGTTCGCGACATCACGCGGCGTCTGTCTATTGCAATAAAGCGATTTTACACGTAAAACTTTGCGCAAACATTCATACAAGATCGCGCACGTCGACGTCCTCTCCCGTGACGGGCTCACCTGACTACTTGGACGCATATGAGCGAAAAAATTACGATTGGAATCCATTCCGCTTCCTGGACGGAACATTCTCGACGTGTGCTGCAGGGATTGCTTAACTACATCGAAGAATTCCCGAACATTCAAGTGCGGGATTTCCGTTTCTCGAGCAACGATCCCAACCTGGTAGGTAATCCTCCGTGGACCGGTAAAGTGGACGGAGCGATCGTCGCCGCTGGTCGTAACCCAGGCATCACCACATGGATTCGCCGCGGGAAAGTTCCGGTGGTGATGGCGAGCGCCGACTTGATCGATTCCGGATTTGTTTCGGTCTACACCGATGTCCATTCGGTCGGTCGTCTTGCGGCTTCGCATTTAACCGAAGCAGGTTTCGAGAACATCGCGTTTGTTGGCTATCAAAAGTCAGATGGTTCCAAGCGTCGCCGCGACGGTCTTGCGGACGAGTTGGCCAAGCGCGGTATCAAGCTGAAGGCGCTCGCGCTGAAAGAAATTCCTGTCGACTCGGTGGAAGACGAACGAGAGATCTCTGATTCGACGGTCGAGAAAGTACAGCAACTTCTTGATAAGTCCCCTAAGCCGCTTGCCGTTGTTGCGTTGAACGACGTTGTTGCGGAGTTCATTGCCAAAGTCGCACGTGAAATGGGGATTTCTATTCCGGATGAATTGGGCGTCCTGGGTGTTGGCGATTCAGAACGGGCACGGATGGCAGATCCTCCGATTTCCAGCGTACAAACCCCTGGCGTTGAAATCGGTTATCGCTGTGCGTCGCTATTGCATTCGATGATTCTGGGGAATTCGCCGAAGGAAACGGTCTTCGAGATTCCTGCCGAGAAAGTCACTGCACGACGTTCTACCACCGGCTGGAAGCGTGCCGCGATAACGGACATCGACCGAGCCGTGAACTACATCCGTGATCATGCTTGCGATGGCATTCGCTTGAAAGATGTTGCCAGCGCGGTCCGTATTCCGATTCGTACC